ACAGTTTGCAACAAATTTCCCTTTGTGTTGCTATACACAAGCTTCTCCACCATCTGATATGATTAGAAGAAGACAATTAGAGTAAGGATCTCAGTGAATTACGCTAATTTTAATTGACAAAGAGAGCTCCGTCGTTAAATAATCAAAACCAGTCTTAATCAAAAGGTTCCAAAATCCACTAACTACATTACCATGTAGCAATTATTTAATTTTAACTTGTCAAATACTGTATTGCAAGGCTGGCCAAATCATTCTTTTGGAAGCCATAGGGAAGACGACAAGTAGGCCAATACCACGAAAAAACATGGGCAGTTGTCGCTGATCTCATTTCCCATCCCTATCCAACTTTGACACAGTCTATTGCGTATAATCACTCGGCAAAGAATGCGTGTGATTTTGGGGTCGTTTACGGTTTATTATGGCGTCAACCCTTTATTTCCAAGCAACGACCCTAAGATTTCTGGTTTTTCTTGTTCATTTTCGGCCAACCTTTCTTCTTCAAAACATCGACAAGGATTATGGACTTTGTTGTGTTACTCTTAAACATTCACACACACAGTCTTTAGCCGAGAATTACGTACGCGCTTTTGACCCTGGTCTTTTCATTTCATTTTATTTTCTTTGAAATTGAATACTTTGTCGTATTAAAAAATAGTTTGGGACTTTGGGGTCTAGAGAAATAACTCATTATTTTCAGTTTTCTAGGGGGGATGGTGCATGTGCATGTGCATGCATGGACCAGCCACATCTCTTTAGTGCCTTTTTTGCTAAGCTATTCCCCTTGGTTCCCCATTTAAGGAAAAATGCTTTGCTTCAACCTAAAGTTTACAAAATATAACATTTTTCTTCTTATTCTCATCCAAATATAATGAAAGGGAAATGAAGAGGTAGAAAAGGCACATACATGGTATTACATATTGATTCAGACTTTAATTAGTAATTAAATTAATTTTTGTCTTTTTAAAAAAATTAACTTATAGTTGTAATTGTTAGATATTACTTGATGATTGGATTTCTTTAAATAAAAATACTCATCAAATAAGATTATTTTATCATCAAATTTATTTTCCTTATATATAAAAATATATATCAAATACTTATATATTGGCTCTTACTAATTACATAATACATGGATTATAAGTGACAGAAAAAGAGAAGTAAATCGTCTTTTTAAAGTAATATATATATATATATATATATAGAATTAAAATTCATATATGCAATTGATTTCTGGATCTATTATTTATGGGGTAAAAAAGAGTTTTTCGTGAACTTTGCCAGATTTTATGCAGTAAACATAAAGCTTTTTATATAATCATGTTAGAGCTCATGTATGAACACATGGATATAGATGTAGGTGAGAATATTTTTCAAATCCACTGAAATCATTACTTCTAATAGTCTTTCAATAATTTGTTAAACAATAATCCACAAGAAGATGCCATGCCGTAAAATAATAAATATATTTGCTTAATTTAATTATATTAACGTAAAATACAATATGTTTACTACCATTATTATCCAAAAATAAAATGTGGGTGTATATGGTTATAAAGAGGTTAGTCTCATGAAAGTGGCAATGACATTGACCTATCTTTTTACCAGTAAAGATAGCGAAAGACTGGGACATATCAAGCTATTTGGTGAGGAGAATGATGATAATTGGCAAAGGAAAAGCAAAGGCTAAGGGTAGTCCACAAGGACCACTTGTCCAGTTGAACAACGACTGACCAAGAGATGGACGATGAATGGGTCCTTCTCAGTCCCCATACCATATACCGATGCGATATTTGATATGAAGTGGAGTAACCCACTAATGCATGCTTCTAATCTATTCAAAATGATCGTCAAAAAAAATTTTAAACTGGGACCCCAAACCTAATGGCTAGTAGCAACAGCAGCACTTGACATCATTGAAATGTCGATGTGGTGTTAAATCTAGACGCTGCATTTGTGTTAAACCTCCAATGAACCTCGACTTCAAATGTGTGTACTCGAAACAAACAACACACTATAAATGTGCATGCAGATAATATAAATTTCAAATTTATAATATATTTATGAATTTTAGAGTTTTATTGTTTATACTATTGAACTTTTATTTTTGTCAATTATAATATTAAACTTTGATGTTCGCTTCAGTTATTCTACTAGGTCGTTAAAATCCAAACAGTGTGAATACATGAATAAAACGACATCGTTTTAGGCATTGAACTTTAAGGTATACCGATTTTGCTACTGGACTTTTAAATATATTCATTTTTTACACTGTATTTTTTCAGTCGTTGTCAGTAGTCAATCAACATTGGTCACTAGTCGTCTTATGCGGCGAACTTGGTATCAAAACGTTCATATTTCACTCTTCTTTCTTCTCATAAGATTTTTTTTATGAAACTCACACAAAATCGATGAAATTAAACAGAAAAATCTATCATTTTAGGGGTTTGGAGGATTTCTTAGATTTTCGAGATTTTGAGGGGTGTTTGTTCAAAAATTCGAACGATGAGAATCATTGTTTTTAGAAAACAAAACAACATACCTCAAAACTAGCTCATCGGATGGTCATTGGAAGAGAACAGAGGATTAATACGTCGAACTTTCAAATAAATTTTTATTAATTTTAAGTGGATTTTGTGAAAAATCAAACCATGAGAAGAAGAAAAAAAGTGAAAGATGAATTGTTTGGTACTGATTTTGTCAAGAAAAATTACCAGTGGTGATGATAATTAACTGATGATATGGATGAATCGAGGAGGACGAATGGGGACAGTTGACTCCTTAGAAATTTAAAATTATCATATATTTTTCTATTAAAAATCTATTTTCAACCTCTAGAATTTTACAAGATCGCCACTTTTTAAAATTTTAGAAATTTATCCCATAATATAAACTTACGTCCCTGACAACTAACGATGGTCGAGAAGTACAATGCCAAAAAAGTAATATGTTTGAAAATTTTACTTACAAAATCAATACACCCCTATAATTTAATAAAATAACATTGTTTTGAATATCGATAATCTTCGTCCAAAAGGACATTTAATCCAGATCATTATAGTAACAGAGAGATATGTTCATGTCATTGTGCTATTAAAATTTAACAATCAAATAATATAATTGAAGTAAAAAAATTAAAATTTAATATTATAATCGATAAAATTAAAATTCTATAATATAAATGATATAACGTCCGAATTCAATGATATTTGGTGTACTTTGCCCTATATTTATAGTATTTAAATATGTTTCTAATACTAAAAAAAAATGAATGGTGGTGCGGTGTACGGCAGCAACTAAGCAATAGCCTATAAGGGTGCGTTTGGTTCATGGAATATAAGATTACCAGTGGGAATAAAAGATTATCAGGGAATATGATTATTGAGAATGTTGTATTTTGTGTTTGGTTGGTTTAGCAGGAATGTAAGATTACCGTGTTTGGTTAAAGGAATAAAAGATTATTAGAATGTATATTTGACCAAATTGTCCTTATTATATATTTGTATAATATTACAAATTGTAAAATATTTATATATTTTCTTTAAAAAATTAAATTCATAATATTTATATAAATTTTTTTACAAAATTAAAAATATAAAAAAGGTTTAATGAAAGGGTAAATTTTTTTAATCCCTTAACTTTATATAAAATTTTAATTATAGAATTTTTTTTGTAAATCTAAAATAATTTAAGGATAAATTTGTAATTTAACCTTCGTAGAATTTTATTATTCAATGATAGAAGAAATATATTTTTGAAAAAAAATAAAAATTTAAAGGCATTTTAGTCCAAAACGCCGGTAATGTTACAATACCTAAGGGAAGGGAGGTAATGACATTCCCGATAATATACCCCAAAAAATCTACTATTGTAAATAAAACATTACTGAGAATGAGATTACCGGCCAATCAAACATGGGAATGTGGAATTTCCATCCCATGAAAATCCCACAATCCTTGAATCAAACACCCTCTAAGGGGTATAACGAAGAGTTCATCACTATGTAAAATCTTCATATTCTCTGGCGAGATATATAATGGCAGAACAGAGATTTAGTTTACTTGGAAACCACCATAGCCAGTTCCTCCCACCGATGGATTCGTTCATTTAATCATCATTTTCCTTCTTATTGATTGAATAATTAGTCTGTCTACGTATCGGGGAGGGAAGGTCAAAGGTTGAAGACGGGAAAAAATCACTTTAAAGATTAAAGTGCTTCATATTCTCTGCTTACTGGAAACAGTGTTTTCAATGTTGCTGTTATACCTGTGTGTCCACCAAATCCAAAATACATGACTGTTGATGATGAAGGGATCACATCGACAATTTCAACCCCGTACCATTACATAATAATATTGTCTTTCATATCATGAAAACAATATGATGCATGTGATGTAAGAGAGTGGAGAGAGAGAGTGATAGATGGCACTTGGAATTGTTAAAAGGAGTGATTGATCTTGTTTGTCTCAGCTACCCACATCCACATGCACTAAGACATCTAGTTTAAGTTCAACTACTTCTACAAAAGACATCAGCTCCACCATATCCATGTCTTCTTCCAATTGCAAACCCTACTTCACTAGAAGCAAGTTACTATTTTGTCACTTGTTTTTTTCAGTTTCTGAATGGAATGTAATGGAAACTAATAACGCACAAGGTAAAGAAACAATCAAACAAAAAGGCTCAGCCCTGATCAAACATGAGCTTTCAACTATATACTCCCCATTATTATAATACTATCAAAAAGTTTTAAAAGAACATCAACAAAACCCAACTCAGATGATGTTTCCGTCTAAGAATACTCGAAGTCGAAAGTTTAAAGTAAAAGCACAACCCAGGATCTGTAATTTGGAAAGAAGAAAAAAAGAAAGAAAGCAAATGGCTATTGACCGTACTGTTCTTTCATTTACAGGAATCAAAACCCACGCTAGAAGATTCTCTCTGAATTGGTGTCCTCAAGTTGAACCAGATTAAAACCAACCCAACGAAAGCAGCTGGACAGACAATAAAAGATGCAATTTTCAACATGTGAGGCTGAAAGTTCGATGGCTTTCTGCATAGAGAAGGCGAAAAATGAATTTCCATTTTAGAGTTTTAAAGTTGTATACCTTTGGACGTTTACGGCAATGGCTGACGAAAGATCATTATGGAGGAGTGCCATAACCTGGAAGATCAGGCCATTGGTTTGGATTCAAAGAAGCATCCGTAGTGTTGCTGGTGTTTGTATTCCCATGGCTACTTGTGCTGCTGTTGCGGTTGTTGATACTCCACAAAGCCGCTTCAGAAACTGTAGGGTCATGGTTGTTGATGAAACTTTGATGCCAATTCTGCTGAGAAGAGTTACCTGCAGAAGGCCAGCTGCTAGACTGAATCAACCTTTCTTCATCAGATGGGCAGATGTTTACAGTCTTTTGATCTCTATCACCCATAGCAAAGAATTGGGTTAGCTGAATTGACTGATGCTGATGTGACCCGAAAGAAGGGACACCATATTCTTGCAAAAGACCCAAATTTGATGAACCACCCAGCTCACCACCGATGCTTAGAGCCTGATTGAGAGGTTGATTAAAAAGTTGCGGTTGCGGTTGGCTCATCGACTGAATTGCAGCCAAAGAAGATAAGAATCCAGCACCAGGATAAAACGATCCCACAGAAGAAATAGCAGACGATGAAGCCAAACTACCGGTTTCCTTGGTTCTCAGAGCAGCACTTACACTGATCATAGGGTTAGAAGAGATCATACTTTGTGGTGATGCCATGTTGTGTTGCTGAGCTGCTTGCTGCTTAGGTATCTGTGGATGAGACCTTGAGTTTTCGCCGGGAGAAGAAACCTTTGTTCGTTTCCCTTTCCTGCAACCACCTCCTACGGGAACGTTCCTAAGTGTTCCACCTTGGGTCCAATACCTTCGACAATTCTTGCAGAAATAACGAGGCTGCGAGAGACTGTAATTGTTGTAATAACAAAACTTTGTATTAAGAGACTCGCAACGAGGACACTTTTCAGGTGGATTCGGCTGATTCTCTCCCGTCAACGCCTTCAATCTCTGATCTTGCTGTTGGTTCTGCTTCATGCCTTGCTCACTCCCTCTTCCTCCTCTATCTTGCTGCATCACTCTATCTATTGAAGCGGGCTCTTCTTTCCGATACTGATTTATAAAACCCTTTTCCGTTAATCTGATATTGAACCGAGATTAACCTGGGTGCATGTAGGTCTTGAGATGAGTCTTGAAATTGATAGAGAGGCGTTTCAGATATAAAGCCTATAATAACTCTACGTGTCTATTTCTGGCTCCTGAGAATCTCCACTGTACAAACAAAACCACGGCGATCGTTACTTGTGTAAATGCCTATAACCCCTACCCACCAACCCGCCTCGACAAAACCATGCTCTTCCCCAAGTCTCAATTACTTTTTCAATTTTTTCTAAGAAAAAAAAACAAGCAAACGATAATCAAGAATCTGAATTTATAAAAGTATCCCCTTAAAACCCAACGAAAAATCTTGCCAGATTTCCATCTCCACTAATAATTTATTTATGTATAGATAAATTTATACATACACTTTCGAATGTGTAGAAAGCTGAGGAGTGGCTGACCTGCTTATACGAGAGAAGGAAACAGAAGGGAATCTGTACGAGTGTCGGGCGTGGAAAAAGTCCACTAACCCCAGGTCTCAATCTAGAGCTAAGTGAAAGATGTTTTAAGAGACAGAGGAATAGGTTTGTTTGAGTTCAGTAGTCATCTCAAACAAAACGCACTGGTTGCTAGCTTCACCTGATCGATCATCATCAAGGTCATTAGAGCAGCACGCGAAACCTTGATTCAGTCATCTTTAATGTTCGTTTTTGGGGGATAGACAGAGAGGGAGGGAGGGAGGGACAGGGAATTCAAGAGAAATGATAGAGGAGAGACAATATGATAGGGAATGGACCAGTAAGCAGTGGGCATATAGGCGCCGCGGCCAAAGCAAAGGGTGCCGTGGCGGTCGGCAATGGTGTGGTGGGCTGTGTCAGACAGCTTAACTGTCTACTGTTTCCTTTCGTTTTGTTCTCACTTCGTTTGTCTTTCTCTCTCATCCCACTTTCCTAATTCCTATGTCGCTCCCCTGGGTCTTGCATTCTCTATCTTCATCTTTTTCTAGCAAGAGTCTTCTATGCTCTACTACCATTATTCTATTCATAATTTCATATTCATATTTTGCATTATTTATTTATTTCTATTATTTCTGTTATTAATTCTTTACCTTATCGAAGGAGTATGTTGGTAACTTTGACAGCCTCCCTCTTTTATTTCTTTGTGCTTGAAATGATTTATGACTCACGGTACTTATTAATTTGAATTAGATTTTATTTTACTTTTTAATTATAATTATTAATTTTAGTTACAACATTTAATAATATCAATATAAAATAATAAAATAAAATAAATATTTTATTTTTAAACTTATGGGTAAAGTACATAAATGGTCCCTGACTATAGAGTTTTATTTTGTTGAGTCACCGATTATTAAAAGTTACAAAATAGTCACATGATTATATGAAATTACTTTGTTGAGTCTCTCAACTATCCATATGTTCCAAATTCGTCATTTTTAGTAAAAAAAATTAACGATTGTCTAAGCTAGACGTTAGCATGCTGATTGAGATGTGATAGTCGTTTGAGATTTTGAGATCAATTTTTAATATATTTCAATTAACATGTTAACGTCTAGCTTAGACTTCCATCAATTTTTTTTAACAAAAAAATGAGTTTGAAACATATGAATAGTCAGGTGAGCATTTTGTAACTTTTAATAGTAGGGAGACTCAACAAAGTAACATCTTATAGTTAAAGGATAATTTTGTAATTTTTAATAGTAGGAGACTCAATAAAGTAACACCCTATAATCGAGGGACTATTTTTGTACTTTACGCTAAATTTATTTAGATATGATGTTTAATTATTTACTGACATGATTATTGTGTTAAGAGTAAATTCATCTAAGGTTTTTTTTCTTGCGTCGTTCACTCCTTTTTCTATTTTTGCTTAGTTGGTGATGACACTGACTTTAATACTGGTTGTCGGCCGCCGGTACTTCTTACTTTTCACTTATTTTCTTATATTACATATTTACATTTCTTTTGATTTTCAGTTTTTATATAATTATGTCTCTGACACGTTTTTCCCTTTATGACATGATTTCTTCTGCCATATGGCACGTTTCGGTCGTTTGACTGTTCTTATCGTTTTTATCTTATTCTTAGGGTTGAAATTGGCGACACTTTGACTGATTAATATGGTGCTTATCTGTTATCATGTTGATTTTCTATGCTTTGGATCCTTAGATTGGATTGAGATATGTGGTTGCGCTCATGGATAGCCTCTAATGTCACTTGACTTTAATATGTAATTTTTCGGTGGTCTTTTAGTAGTATCTATCTCCTTTTGAGGTTCGTTTATTGATGTAATCAATTTTGTTCGTATCTATCTTTATTAGAGTATTTTGGTTGAGTTTTTAACCTTTTTATTATATGGTTCTTGTATGATCTCTGTCATAACCATTTTTCAAAAAAAACAATTAAATATTATTTTTAAAACGATTATGACTTTAATTTTGGAAAAATTGGTGATTTGGAATTAATTTGGAATAAATTGAATAGAGTCGCCATCGACCTTTGGGTTAGGTAGGTCGAATACCTAAAAATGTCTTTTTTAAAACAATTTTAAGAAAAATCGTTTTTTAAGACGAAAACTAGTATGCATTTACCAAAGATTCGATTTAAACAGGTTCGGGAGTCGGTTACGCGTGGGGAAGGATTAGCACCCCACAGCGCCCAAAATTGGTACTGTGTCGCTTACAGGTTGTCGTAAAATGGTGGAAATTATAAATCGAATATAAAGTTAAATTACGATCCATTTATTGAAATTTAATTAATTTGCTTCGAGTTAACTATTTAAAGAAAATCTTTTAACTCGATAAGAAATCTTGAAATTTGCAATCCTCCGTCGGGAAAGCTATTTCAACTATTTCTCATTTGTAAAAGAATATTCTACCATTGATTATGTAAAAAAAATGCGAATCAAATATAACTAAAAACGATGTTTACATACGAGTAAATTGATTAACTAAACGTGAATTGAATACAAATTAAAAAATTTGAAATTTACATTCACATAAAATAAAATAAATTGTCACTTAAAATAACACACATTGCATCGTTTGAACAAATTAATTAGCAAAATATACTCGACTTATTTCAAATTTTTATGTCGTTAAAATGCCGTACCGGATCACACCACTTCGATCAAGTGGTACTTTCCACGCTCATTCTACGCATACGTACTTGAAAATAAAATCAAAAATCATTCATGGATAAAAACGTAATATAAACAAATGTAATTGCAAATACAAGATAAAATATTTACATTAAATGAAATTAAGAACATTATTTACATAATACAAATAACCAAATAATAAGTGCAATAAAATCATACATAAATGACTAAAATAAAAAAGAAAATATTATAAACCAAGATAAGATTATCAAAAGGTAAATATTTGTAATTACAAGGATCAAAAGGAAGAAAAACATAAACTTGATGTACTAAAATAGTAAATACAAGAATTTAAGGGAGTAAATAGCAAATACAGAAACTGAATAGGTTAAAAAACAGAAGAAAAAGAAATTTAGGGACCAAAATAAAGAAATAGAAACTAATGGGACTAAACAGTAAAAAAACCAAAGTCCGAATTACAAATATTAAATAATACATGTATCAAAATGAAGATAACCCAAAAATAATATAGAGGACTAAAATGAAATTTCACAGAAACATGGAGAATTAAAAAATAATTAAACAAAAAAACTAAAACAATGACTAAAATAAAATATTTACAAATGTAGTGGCCAAATTCGAATAACACAAAGATTATAAAATACATTGAATCAGTGATCAAATTGAAATATTTGAAAATATTAAAACCAGAATCAAATATAGACAAAATGATATAAAACATGAATAGTGACTAGTTTATAACAGTGTAAAGATAAAGGCTCAAAGTCAAATAATTACATAAAACATGTAAATGATGACTAAAACGAACACTATACAAAATAAGCAACCAAAAATCTAAACACTTAGAAAATGTAATACTAATCATATAGGATTAAAACGAAACACGAAATAAATAAAGAGATCGAACTAGAAAGATGAAATTTCATTAAGGATCATATTACAAGCATTACAAAGCTCAAGGTACTTAAACTGTAATTTACCCCAAAATGGAAAAAAAACGCATATGAGATTACAAAATAACGAGGACCAAAGTTGACATTAACCCTTAAACCCAACACTTGGTCTCCCTCCCTAGGCCTAAAACGACGCCGTATTGAAGCTGGGATATAATCCCAATTTAAGGGTTACCAACCGAACCCTAAATCATTTTCAAACCCCTCTCTCAGCCTCCTTTTGCCTTTCCCTTTCTCTACTCTCCCTTCTCCCTCGCCGCAACAACAAAATAGAGGCTCCCCGGCCACCGTATCGGTGGCCATGGGGAGCAAACCGACCCCTAAAGACCCTCAATCCTCTTTCTTCCTCATTTCCTTTGAAAACCCAACCCTTCACCCCACCAAAAAAACCGAGAACCCCTTTTAATCCAAACCTAGATTCAAGAAAAAAGAACGTTTTACCTTCGATTCAGGGTTTTTCAAGCTCTGGTGAGGTTGATAAGGGATAGATCTACAAGGGTAAGACTTCCCCTTTTCTTTCTCTCTATGTTATTTTCTTTTTTTCGAATATCGTTTTTTTTTTCCGAATCTCCTCCCCGTCTTCCTTTTTCGTTTTTTCTTTCAATTTATGGTCTTCCTCTTAGTCTTGCATGCGTAGCTAATATTTGATGGACGATTGATTTTCGTAGGGTCATAATATCCTAGAATTAGGATAAGATTTCTTTTGGATTTTTTTTTGATTTTATGTCCATTTTCACTGTTTGAGGGATTTTGGTCACTGTTGTTGATGCGTTCGGATTTTGGTCACTGTTGTTGATGCGTTCATCAGATACGATCGGAAGGGAGGCTCGGCTTGGTGACTCGGGAACTCGACGACGGCTCGGTAATGGGAATCTGGCTTGAGCGGCGGCTGGGAACTGAGGAATTCAAGGCGGTGGCTGAGTAGTTAGGGGATTAGGGTTGAAACCCTAAATATCTCCTGATCTGGACCATTGATTTAGGTCCAGATCCAACGGCTGGTGAGAGGGACGGCTGAAGCAGAGAAGGAGAAACCCTAGAGTTAGGGTTAGTTGATGGGCCATCCAAGTGGGCTTCTGGTCATTGTACTGGGCCTGGAAAATGTTGTAATTGGGCTCATGGGTAGGTTAGCTGATCGGGCCTCAATAATTGGCCTGTAAAAATTGTATTAATATGTTAATAAAAATAAGCATAATAATAATAATAATTAGATAGTAATAATAATAATAATAATAATAATAATAATAATAATTAGATAGAAAAGACCCGGACAAAAACGGGTGTCTACAGCTGCCCCTCTTTGCACATTCTTGTGTTAACAAGAATAGGGCAAAGATGACAAGACATCACGTTTTTGTCTGGTTTTCTCCCTTTTTGGTTTTAAAAAAAATGGATAGTTTTGTTGGTGGGGACGACACTGCTCATACGTGATGAAGGGTTCGGGTCGTTTTAAGGTTAACGCGGTTCCTACGTGATGAGGAAATCTGGTCGGGGAATGACACGGCTCATACGTGATGAAGAGTTCTGGCCATCTAAAGGTGATAACACGGTTCCTACGTGATGAGGACGGCTGGTTATCTATGGTTGACACGGCTCCTACGTGATAAGGAGATCTGGTCTGGGAATGACACGGCTCATACGTGATGAAGAGTTCTGGCCATCTAAAGGTGATAACACGGTTCCTACGTGATGAGGACAGCTGGTTATCTATGGTTGACACGGCTCCTACGTGATGAGGAGATCTGGTCTGGGGATGACACGGTTCCTACATGATGAGGACGGCTGGCCATCTTTAGGAGTTATGGTTTCAAGAGAAACCAAATTAAAGATTTGTTTCAAGAAAAACAAGCTCAAAGATAATGTGTTTCAAAAGCAACT